GTTAGCTGTGGCCAGGTGGTCATTTCCCCCCCACTCCAGACAGCTCTCGGTCTGGGACGCTTGGACTGCTATCTCCGTTCCGTGAGTGCCTCCGGGAGCGGTGCACCCCCTGTCTGGGGGAATCGTGAGTGTAATTCTGGGATTGTTAGCCAGCAACAGGCTGAGCCTTTGGTCATCGGATGGGGGGGGGAAGTATCACTGTGTATCACTCATTTGTATATAGTATTATTTTTAATATTGTTGTAATTTAATTATTAATTTGTCCTTACCTCAACCCACGAGTCCTCTTTACCATTTAACCCTTTTATTCTCTCCTCTATCATTGGGTGGGAATTGTGTGAGCGGGTGTGTGTGGCTTGGCCCCGAGCCAAGGGCTAATCCACCACATTACCTTATCTGCCATTAAATCTTTGTCTTTTGGAAAACAGCGAGTCTTGTCACAAAATATATTTACATACTCTATCTGAAATATAACATGTTTTATATTATATTTTAGGTGCAATGGTGAAGGTTCAAAAGTCTGTTCAGGTACCCTTCCAGATGGAGGTTCAGGAGATTTTAGGCTTCCCCTTAAATGCACAAAAGGGCAGAGCCTGAGTCCCACTCCCAGAAGTCAGTAAAATATTAAACTCTGCTGGATTTCCCATCTATGCTTCCTTTTCTGTATTTCAGTTTCTCATCCAGCCTAAGAAGTACTATTTGGCTTAAGTATATCTTTCAGAATGACATCCAGACATGCCTGAAGACATCAAGTGATGAAGAATTCACCCCTTAGTTAATTAATGTAAAGGAGTAGTTGATGAAAAACTGATTTATTCATTGGTTCAATTGCAGCTGGAGCATGTATTGCCTGTGGTTGATGTGAAAAAGCACTGCCTTTATTTCTGAAAGAGCAGCAATGTGGTAACATGGTTTGGTAAATGCATTTTAATAGCATCTACTCTAGAAGACAGACTAGAATTCCAAAATTATGGTAGTTACTTTCTGGAGATATAAAGCAGAAGTAAACCATCATGGCTGGTAAGTTGCATCTATAATGTTTTATATCATCAGAGAAATGGGCAAACATCAGAGAATTTTGTTTCGATCATGAGCCGGAAAAAAACCCCAGCTCTAATCCAAGAATCCTTAGCCTTATGGTATTAAGTTTATATAGGTACCACATCACATGGAGTGTGATGCATCGGATGTGTTCACTGTAGTATTCCAGACAGAGGCAAAAGGGACTCTTATAACTTTGCATGCTATTAAATCTGTTTCATGGGCATGCGGTATCTTTGTGCTTCAGGATCAAGCTACTGGTTATATTTGTGAGTATTATTCTGATAGAGCTTGGTTATGAAGTTTCAAATGCTTCTGTTTAAGTGTTTATTTTAAGAATGACTAGTATTTCTTTTTGTAATTTTGCAGAGTACAGATGCTAATTCAAATGTGAGGAAAAGAACAAATGCCACAGTACAGTCCGAAGCGGATGGTGGGAGCCGAATTGACACAAGGCACAGCTCCATCCAGCCTCCCTCTGTAGCTCAGGGGTCTTCTGACATTACACCCCACTCCCTTTCTGCATCAAGTCCCAACCCTTTCACACGCATCAATGCATCAGAGACACTATCTTCTGCAAGAGCTACCCCTCCAGCTCCTCCTTCTACCCCAATTTTAACTGGATTTGTATCCCAGCATGCCACAGATGGATCCCCTTCCATTCAGCACTTGCTTGGATCTAGACTGGAGCAGATTCAGACCACCACACCTAATACATTAGGAGCATCTGCAAAGCCATCTGCTGTCACACCACCTGCTCCCCCTGCCCCTCACTCCGGCACGAGTAAGATAGACAAATATGCACGCATTTTATTTCCTGTTACCTTTGGAGCATTTAACATGGTCTACTGGGTGGTGTATCTATCCAAGGATACCATGGAAAAATCAGAAAGTCTAATGTAGTTTTGCTGCTATGTAGTAGTTCCTAAATTATACTCACATTTGATGCAGAGTTTCTTCTTTTGAAACTATTTAGAAAGGTCAGTATTTCTTATTTGTAAAAGCTGTGTGCTACTTTCCCGTTGTAAAGGCTGGAGTTTTTGGGGATAGTTAGTTAACTCCCATCAGAGTAATGGGTAACAGATTTGTCTTCCTCCCTTCAGCTAGCAGTGAACCATCACCCTCTTCAGACCGACCGCTCTGGCTACACAGAACTTGCCTTTGGGAGGAACACAGACCTCACACAAATCAAAAGCAGAGGTGCACAGCTGTGCAGTGGAACACATCTTGACTGCTAGGAATACACATATAGATTATTGCAAATCCCTGAGGCACCTAGCAGTGCTGTCTGGATGCAGCATTGCGTTCTCTGAATGCAAGGCCTGTGTCCTGAATATTTTGACGGTGCTTGCTAGAAAAGGACTTTCCCTGCTAGATTAATATTGGCAGAATGGGTGGAGAAAAGTGAACAGTGGAAAAAGAACTGAGAGTCCAGCCTGGGAGAGTGCAACTCCAGAAAAGTTATGCAAAGGAGTTGTAGAGCTCCGTATATTTTTACTAAATATTATTTTGTGTTGGAACCTGGGAAACTATGACTCCAAAATAAGAATGAGTGAACCTTGTAAAATCTGAAATATGATGTAATTCTCAAAATTTGAGTTTTTTGTTTGCTAAGGTGATCTTAAGCGTGTGGTTCTTCTTTGACCTTACTGACCAGCTTGAATAGATTTATTCCTAAATTATATCTGTTGTGGTAGAGGAGGACCAGGCCACGATGTTCAACTTTTTGTTTGAATTCTTTTTTCTTTCCTTTGGATACTTTTGGGTTTGGGGTTTTTTTCTGCCTCCCCCCTGCCATTTCCCTTTTTTTAGTCTCACTCCCCTGATTTCCTTTGAACACATATTTCCTCCCCTTTATATAAATGTTTGAGTTAAGTTACATTTTCAACACTGTTTTAAAAGTGTCTTTAATATTAAGCAAAACAAATTTTCCTGTGCTTTGAGTGTGGCTATGGCACATCTTTGAGTGAATGAGGCACTCTTTTGTGAAGGAATGCTGTGACATAAGTAAGAAAATAAAGTTTCTAAGTGGAGCTGGGGGGGAACACGAGGTTTATTTATGGTCTGGTTGTTTCTCTTGCACTATGGCATAGGCAGGGGCTTTTCTTAGGGGTCCAAATTGCGATATGCAAGCAGGCAACTTTGTTAAAGAATTGAACTGTTTAAACCTGGTCGAAATCTTAATCCGAAATGTTCTTTTCACCTGAATGGATGGAAGATATGCTGGCAATAAATAGAAAATATTTGCTCATTTCCATCTGGCTAGGCAAGTGGTTAGCATTTCTGTGCAGGTGACAAGTAAAAATCAAAGGCCATATTCTCAGCTGTGATCTGGTTGTGCCTTTAAAGGGTCTGGAAGTAGTCGAGTCTCCTTTCAGCAGACTAATCCTTAACTTCAGTTGATTGGAATAGCAGATTGGTACCCCACAGTTTTATGCTGGGGGGCAGATCAGGTGAGTGCTGAGTGGTCTGTGCCCAAGTAATGATCAAGTGACTGATGGAGACCATGAGCAGCTGGGGCAATCAAGGACATGCATGAGACTGCCCTAGACTATGTTGGGACAAGAATCAGAGTAAAAACACTCCAGGATGGTGAAACTATGACTGTATTTATGTACCTCTTTCTGTCTCTCCAAACCTTGTAGCCAGTTCATGGCTGAGAATCTGATCTTTAACGTACGGGATGTGGGAGACTGCAAGAGGTGTGTACCACATCATGTAGCCTGGATCCCAGGCTGCTATTTCGTGTATAGCATTGGACTGTGATGATAGAATGCACAGGATGTGGGAATGTCTTACATGACTATTATGATGTAGTGATATAAACAGTTACTTTAGTCTTTTTTTAGTTAAGTAATGCTTTCAAGAGGCCTGGAATGATCCTTTCCTTTTTGCCTTTACATCTAGAAGAAGGTTGAGATTACAAAACACTCCTTAGAAAACCATTACACATGCCATAGCACAGAACTGGAAATGGAGCACCCATGCAAGATGTCTGACTGCAGTAGTTTGAATCTTTGGATGTATCTCTAGTAGCTGTAGCTGTTTCTTCCCTAATTTGGTCACATTATTGCAGATTGTCAGAATAGAAGATAGTCTAGAAGAGACTGTTTTGTTAAGCCAGAAGAAACTAAGCTAATCCTGTGGCAATTATTGATCATAATTGCACAAATGATAAAATATTTCTACTATGAAGATCAGTGGCCTTCTGTGTGTCGAAAACCTAGTGTTTGCACCAGAAGTTACTGAAATTATTCTTTGCTTTCCTCTATGATGAAAATCAAGGATGTTTTCTTTCTCTAAGGCAGAGCTTGAAACGATTCACTAGAAACAGCTGTCTCTTCCTTCCATCCATCCCCATATACTGATTGTACGATCAGCTTTTTTCAGTGCATTGTTCAGTAGGATCAACACTGGTTCAGGCTATTTGACCAAGATCAATCCAAATGTGCTACCTGAGATTCACTTGTAGTTCCTGTTTCATTTTAAAGACTTATAAGGAGGAAAAAAGGATAGCAAAAATTAATAGATTCCAAATATTTATTTTTCTGCTTCCATTTTGGAAGAAATTTTCAATGATATCACAGGAAAAAAAAATCTATTTTTAATCTGTCAGTGTATTTCTGAAGTACCTTCCAAAACTTGCATGCCTACGTTCAAAATGAGATATAAAAGAAATATCTTGTTATGAGACTAGGACTAATTTATTGTACTGTGCTACATTTTTGCATTACAGCATATGAAGAAATTACTATAACTAGCTTTCCAAGCTACCTACAGAAAATGTAAATAGGAATTTATTGTTAACAGAGGTTCTTAATTATATTTAATCTCCTTATAGACTGATCAGAAGCAGTAAAGAGCCTGCAGTATACTCAGTAATACTGGCAGGTTCTGAATACTGTGTAATTCAGAAGCACAAACAAAAGCAGGAATATGCTAAATATAGTGGCCCAAATGTTCAACACCGCTAACTAAAATCATGAGGGAGAGTGTTGCAGGTGTCATTTCAGTGACCAAATGGCTTATTAGGGGTGGGTTTGGGTGAGATGAACTCTACAGGAGCTATTGTATTGTATTGTGGGTTTTTTTCTTTTTTTTTTTTTTTTCCTATTGGCTTTGTTTTAACAATTTTTTTTGACAGTACCATAGTGATTTAAAACTAACCAAACACTTCAGATAGGTATCTCTATGAACACAAAAGGAAACTGGATAGGAAGCCAAAAAACCTTACCAGGAAACAGAGACAGATCTCCACTGACTGCTGTTTCCTCGGAGACATTGTTACCAACAGCAAAACTCCCACAGATTGCAGTGATGTAGCCCCAAACGGCAGCACAGTCATTTGAGAAAATCAGTTAAAAACTCGGTTCAGGAAGATTGCCTTCACAGGAACCAAAATGTATTTTATAGTCAGCTGTAAGCAAGGTCAAATTTCTGTCAGCCCACTATTAACGTGTTTCACTGCAATTGTGAAAATAATGAAGCCAAGGAAGGAGGCAAACCTAGACCCGAGCCCTCCATGGTGACCTGAGTTCTTGGAGCTCACCAGCAGAACTGGAGTCTGTTTCTCCTCCTATAAAATGGACTTGTCTCCATCAAATGGATGTGGGTGGCACATTTCTTCTCCCACATGTCTTTTAAGGGAAAAAAGTAGATTTTGTAAACTGTTTAGTCATCCACTTTACATTACCATGCAATCAGGCAAGTAGACCATATGATAATTGAATGAAAGAGGTAAATAATAAGGAATGTGACTAGAGCTTTTCTGTTAACAGGAGCTAAAAGTTATTGATTACAGAGTGTTCAAGCATAGCCTTTGGCATCTCATTGTTTTAATCATTCAGGATGGACCTTGCAAAAAATTGGGGAAACCAAGTAACTGTATTTAATAGGATTTAACCAGTATTTCCAGAGAAAAATGAATTAACTCAGCTTTTCAAAATGCACAGAATTCTGTCTTCTTCCACTTTCTTGTGTACCTCCTGTATGTCATTTGGCTGCATTGTACCTCATGCTGTAGTGCAGTGTCTGTGTGCTATGTGAGAACATCAGAGCATACAGCATGTATTTGTCCAGTTTATCCAAAGCCCAATATTCCCATATCCCTTATGCTGTTGGAAGTGGAGGGAAGGCTAGAATGGAAGAAATGACCACACAGGTTGTGTAGGAGACACATATTGGCTACCTGGGGCATTTTCCTGTAGATGCAACAGATTTCCTAGGACAGTTGGTTTCTGCTGTGTCACACTCTTCCCCCAAATCCCAAAAGCTTCCAAGGGATCTATTTAGAAAGCAGACTAGGTCATGGACTTTGCACACTGGGCTCCAGTACTTTTGCTTGACCCAAAAGATTCAGGAGGAAATAAATTTTGGTGAGTTTTTCCTTGTTTTCCTGGGACTTGCCAGTAGGCTTTGATGTCACTAAAATACATAGGTGCTATATGGCTAACACTGTTGTGAATTGCAATACAGACAGCTGACAAAAATTTGCTCTTGGTTTTATTTAATCCTAATATTGACTAACAGATTAGAAAAATCACAGCTGTAGTGTTGAGAAGCCTAGATGAAGTACAGTGTTTACTGATGATATAGATAAAGCCAAGGATGATCAGAGTTGTAGAAGTATTACAGACGTGCAGAACTTTGTGGCAGTAGGTTTTGTGGCAGGTCAGTGGGAACTGAGGAGAATGAGAGGTGCTTCTCTTCATAGTCTGACAAGCATAAAGCAATACAGCATAAGGTTGGAGGAGTGAAACTCTACAAATAAAATTTCTTACTCAGTGAAGATCCAAAGGGTAAATAGCCTTATGGATGTCAGTATTAACTTCGCTCGCCTCCCCCCCTGCCCCCCATCAAAAAAAAAACCAACAAAAAACCCCCAAAAAACCCTCCTAAAAAAC